CTGATGGGTTTCCTAGGCCTGGCCCCCCAGACATGCTTTGTTGCAGCCATGAATCCAAGTTCCTGGTGCGCAGGTACAATGTTTGTGAGGTCTGTGCCAGGAATGGAGGCCCACGTAGCCTTTGCACAAGCAACATCCTTCGTTCATGTCACATGCAGCAGCCTCTGCTTGTGCTACTGTACCTGATGCAGAAGGTTGATGGCTGTGCAAGCTACATTTCTGTGAGCATTTGTGGACTTCTTCTCTGCTCAGCTCACTTTGCAGGATCAGGCTGAGCATGAGGAGAAATCTGTGAGAGTTAGAGGGGTGGATCCAGCAGAGTTTCTTTGCAACACTACAGCAACTCCCTGTGCCGGCTGTGATGAGAAGAGACCTGCTGGATCAGACCAAAATCCAGCATTCTGTTCCCACAGTGGCAAATCAGAAAAGGATAAGAACAAAGCAGTCCCCATCAAGGCAGTTCCACCCCAGCAGGGGCCCACTAAGAGGGGCATCTTCCTCTTGACCATAGCAACTTGATGGTTCATCTGCCTCTTGTGTTGGCCCAGGCAATGACGGTGGTGAGGAGGAGCCATGTTGGATGGCATGCCTTGCTTGTCTACTGCCTCCTCTGCCTTCAAGCAAGGTGGTGGTTTGTCATGATGAGAAGCAGGATAATAAGTGGGAGCAGCTCATGATAATGGTGGGGAGAAGAGAGATTCACTGAGCATCCCCCTTATAGATGTCCATACAAGTTCCATCTCCTCCTGTTCTGTTAACAGAACATTGCTGGTGAAACCCCAGCACTGGTGGAGCTTCTGGTCAGTAGACTAGGCAAGCAGGATAGCCTAAGCATCAAACCAATGGCTTCCACTGTATGCCTGCGAGGAGTGATGCTTCAGTTGCTTCCTGAACCCCAAATACCGCTACTGTATGAAGCCGGATTGCACATGTAACTGCCACACTATCCAGTCAAATTCTAGGATAGTGTATTGCATGCATAGGTTATATTTTGATAATGCAATAGGAAGCTGGATAGTATCTTCTTGGGGGAAAAGAGTGATTGTATTGCTCTTTGTAAAGGGTTAACATTACTCTTTGAATATGTCTATGAATATATTTTAAAAATACAAAAGCAGTAAACACAACCTCTAGTTTTCAATGATTTCCAAATCTGGATTCTAAATATTCTTTGATCGTATTAGAAAATATCTGAGTAGAAAGAGACAAAGTAAAAAGAAAATATCACAACTAAGTTAAAGTTCCAAAGGTCTCAGCTGAGGTGGAAAAACCCAAATGTCAATTCCTTGAACAGGACATTACATCTGAAGAATACGTTTATAAATTTCTTACAGTTTTAACTATATACATTTTCCTTCCTTCCCTCCCTCCTTCCTTCTTTATTTTTCTCATTTTTAATACAGTTCTTGACTTTTTAAAATTGCATAAGCTGTGCAGATTCTCCTACTTCCAGTTTGTCTAATGCTCTTCCATTTTATAGTAGCAAGTAAAATACCCACTGGTTGCTCAGGGTCTTCCTGTCTCCATCAATATGAGGGGATTATTTTCGTCTGTACAAGCATCTTGATCTAATGACATAACAAGCTTGGGGAGCTTGTGTGTGCAACTCTTCCACTGGCAAGGGCTTCCCCATTCATCACAATGGACAAAGTAGATCTGCAAACAAATATGCCTCCTCTTCATGAAAATGTGGAAATGGACACACCTAAGACCCCTGTATATATACTAGAATGCATGTGGGTCTCTGGACTGGAGAAATGAGCTGTGATCTTCCATAGAGATTAGAATGTGCATGGTCCTAGGAATGCATCCAACCAACAGAACTGTTCTACCTATGACCAACCTGTGCAGTTATATACTCGTATGTGTTCCATTGCCAACTTGGCACAATCACAACCAGTTTTGTGCATCCTCTGGCTTTGTGAACGGAACAAAATAAAGTTACATAGCCAAGTTGCCACCTTCATCGTACACAGTTATTATGCATGTATCGGCTCTTGCCAATGAAGGAAGAAAGTATTGTGTCATTCTCAGTTTTACCTAAATCATTTATTTGTTTTAACTAAGAAAGGTAACATTGACCTGAAATTGTATATATGCAACTATACTAAGATAAATGGCCACTGTGAACCTAAATTAGAAAGCTATTTGGTGCCAATAGTGTTAAGAAAAACACACCAGAATTCTTTTCTCTTTTCTTTTCTTTCCCCCTGCAATCCATAATCTTGGATTATGGCCATCCATTTTTTATATTTTTTATATATATATATATATAAAAAATATACTTTTATAGATAGATTTTTAATCCTTTTTTCCATTAATCACATAGCAAAATACAATTTTCTGATTAAACAATAGTTATCTGATGGCAAACAATTCTTTTTATTGGTTTACATTTCGCAGGTCACAGTCACAACCACGTCAGGCAGAAATTGCACATAGACCATCCTGAATTTTGAAGACTTTTCCTGTTTCATCTTCTACAGGAAAATTCTTTTGATATCTGGGTGGGGCCATCACTCTACACTATCATGACAGTTGTCTGAAAAATTAAAAGTCAAGAAAGTTTTTGAAATTGAGAAAAGGATCTTTTTTCCAGTTTTGTTTGGAAATCCCATGCTTGATGTGCTAAGAAGAACTGCATTATGAAAGTTAATTTGCTCTGTAACCCTTTTCAAGTTGTTGTGAAATGTTATTTGAAATAAGTATGTGTGTATTTTAAAGAATTATGAAGTTGTTATTTCCAGGAGCACCAACATTTTGCAAGACTTGTTGTAACTACTGATCAGAAAACGTGAAGCCCAACCCAATACATGTTTACTCAGATGTTGGTCTTACTTTTTCTTGGTGCTTATTCCCCTGTAAGCGTGCAATGGGTTGCATTTTAAGACAGTTTATGGCATTCACAATGTCACAATAACCAACTCAATTGTGGGCTTGCAGTGCAAAACTAGGCAGGCTTCTTCATTTAAAACCTGTAGAAGGCATACTCAAGTCTTCAAAAGCCAGATTGGCCTCAAGAAAAAACTCTTTATTTTGAGACAGTTACCATTACTTCATTTTTTAAAAAATGACAAAACAGCAATAAACATTTGAGCTCTTTAATGAGCAAATATCAGGTCTCCTAGCATTGGAATAATTATAATATTCATTATCCAGATTAGCTTTATTTGTCACTCAGAGGGGCCAACAGGAATGGCCCAGAAGTACAAAGAATTTTTTCCCCATCAAGTAGTATACAATTTGCTGTGTGTGTAATAAGCTTTCAATCTTGAAAAAGAGTAACTGAAAACAAACATTTCTGTTACTGCAGTTAGTTTGTCAGAGAAAGTTCTGCGCGTTATCTTACAAACTATCAAAATTGCTAGTAATTTGAAAAAATGCAAAATAAAATAAAAATCACATAACTTTACTCTAATAGAAATATAATACAGGAAAGAGAGGAAGTATTCACCAGGGGTGTGCTCTTAGTCCATCTGATTTTTTCTCTTTTTTATATAAATGTACATCTGATTACACATACAAACATTTTGTTTTTAAATGACTGTGACGTATTTTGTAAAATTCAAAAGTAATAGGGGGCATTGGACAAAGACCTTTTTTCCCATATCAGGACACTGTTAAGTAAGATGTGGAACTGAGACTCTTCCAGATGGTGATGCCATTTCTCGTATAGCCTCTCTATCAACATTTGTACACTTTGCAGAGATCTCCTTAAGACGTTTCCGGTGAGCTCACAGAAACACCAAAGAGAAGCAGGCAAAAGGGGGATACCTTGGAAACACAAGAAGCAAACCTGATTTCATGCAATATGATTAGTCAAAGAATCAACCCAAACTGTAATTATTGAATTGCTGTGATAATTTGGGGTGGTGGGGGAAGTCCACCTTTACATATTGCAAAATTTTCCTTGAAAATAAATCATTGGACAGTTCCTTTCTCTTTTAATATGATGGATATAAATGTAAGAAAGTGTAATGAAACCGCATCAAAATGATGAACACTCAACTGAAAGACTGACATCATAAGTACGATGAACTAACCAGTTGGAAAGGAACAAGAATAACAGAAACATTACACAGACATCTTTTGTTTTCTTTTCAAATTCCTATCTGTGAGCATTCACTGCTGTGCACCTAGAGTACCATCAAATGCCTTTAAGAACTACTATAATGCTCTCTGTTGCTGGGATGTTACTGGGAATTTGGGGGATGTCCAATAAGCTTTTCCTCCTTGAAAACAAACCTTCTTAGGTTGTGCCAATTGAGGGAAGAAGCTTCTATTGAGAACTCCAATGGGATGAAAGGAATTTTAATTACGGCTTAATCAGCAGCACAGCCACCAAGCATAATGAATTATCATGCACATCGTGCTAAAAATATTTCATTTCCTTTATTCCCACAACGTTTATACTGACAGCACTTATGTGATCATGTGGTACCTGCCAGGTTATAAAACTCTTCCTTTTTTATTGGCAGATCTCAGCATATAAGCCCCTTTCTAAGGCCTTTAACAGCATTGGTGCTTTGTATACTTATCCAAATATGTAAATATGGTCTACACAAGAAAACAGTTCCAAATAAAAACTGGTGAAAATTATCTGACATTCCATTAATGTGTCCCTTGTGCATATTGATAGAACTTTTTTAAAAATTTTCAGTCATAGTTTTCTTTCCCACTTCTGTGTTGAACATGCCTAATTCCATTATGTAACTTAAATCCTCAAAAAATTAATACTTGAATGTGAATGTAAAAAGTATCATTCAGGACAATTGCTTCAAGCAATTGCAAAAAGTTATACTTTTTTAAAAGTTCATTTTTATATATGTACAATTCGCTTTTCCCCCAAAATCCCCAACGTTCTTGATATGTATATTCACATAATATTCCTCCATATTTAAATAGTAAGAGTCTTGTAGGTTGAAAGCCAAGGGAAGTCTTCTGTAATTATAACCCACTATAATCCACCAAAAAATAAAAGTTTGTTTCATCTTGTTTGGCTATACCCTAGTTGTCGAATGTGAATGGGGGTGGGGGTGTGGGTGGGGGTGAGGATGGGGCAGAGTGCTATTCTGTCCACCAGTAAACGTGTTAAATGTGTGAAGGGGCTGAATCCCAGGTATAGTGTTGGGAATCATTGTAATGGTGTTGGGGGTCATTAACGGAATATCATCGGGTGACCGTCTCATAGCTAGTGTGTAGTCTGGGGGACAGGCGGTCCTAAGAACCACCTCATGGGGATGGATGGATTCACATTCATGACCCAAGTCAGTGTGCTTCATCTGGAGGGACATTATTTCCTCTTCTTGTGCATGGGTAAGATCATTGGTAGTCGTACGCTGTGGGCTGCATCTCCGGTGGACGTCGTGTCTCCTCTTGTCCTTTTTGTAATAGAGTGCTGCAAAGGCCAAAATGTTGAGGAACAGCAAAGATGCTCCAACAGCGATAGTTACACTCAACTCAGTGGAATAGTCTCTTTGATCTCCTGAAATTAGGCTTGGTGGTTGTTTGGGATCGTCTTGCTTGGCTGTAGGAAAGGCTGATGTTACAGGTACCAAATTTTTCCGGGTTGGCCTGAAAGTAATATCAGTTGATGGCACTTTAGTTGTTGTAGAGGTATACTGTGAAATGTCATTAAGATTGTGCAGGTGAGGTACCAGTTCCAACCACAGGTTCACCTTGTTGGCTCTATAGTGTTCTTTTACTCGTGGTTTTAATCCAATGTGAAGGTAAAGTTGATCTTTCTGAGAGTATCTGGTCCATGCTACCTCCTCAAAGCGATTGGGTTTTGTGTGAATAAATTTAGTATCCTGTGGGACTGGCTGATTTGGATCCCTAGAACAAGAAAGTGAGCGTATCAAACCTTTTGGAAAATTGTCTTAACTTTCAAAAACACATCAACACATTTTGTAATATTTAAAAAACTGACAAATGAAATTGAGTTGCATCCAGTCTTCCCATGCTTTCAGTACATCCTCTAAAACAATAGGGCAATTTAGTCATGACTCACCTCTGTCCATTCATTTGAATGGGTATACTCTAAATATCATTAAGTTTGGATCACATCGATTTTTTGTTTTGTTTTGTTTTGTTTTGTTTAGTCACAAAGTCATGCCCGACCTATCATGACCCCATGGACAACAATCCTCCAGGCTCTCCTGTCCTCCACCGTCCCTCGGACTCCTCTCAAGCCCACATCCATTGCCCCAGTGACTCCATCTAGCCGCCTCATCCTCTGCCATCCTCCTTTTGCCGTCAATCATTGCCAGGATCCCATCAATAGATGTTTACTAAGTTCTAAAATACACATGGAGCAAAACCATAAGGCAAGAGTTCAACTCTAGTAATGTCGTACCTTTCATGACTTGGAATAAAAAATTATGTAACTGTCTAGAAGATGTAAGGTGATCCCTAATGAATCACATCACGAGTTCAGCCAATCCAGCATCTTTCTTCCCACAGTCACCAACAAGACATCTTCACCTCAAGGAATCCCATGGTTTGGGCACAAAGTCAAGAGCTATTTGCTATTCTCTCCCATTCCACCAACATGTATGCAGTGGGCCGGTTTGAACAATAGAGAGGCTGTGGGATAAAAAACCATGGGGTCTCCAATTTGAGCAAGATTGTATTGCTTACAGCTTCCAAAGGTGCCTTTACTTAGCACACCAGAAGTGGTTCCCTCACAGGTTACTATGTCATCCAAACCTAGGCTGCTGGGTTGTCAGGAGCTGAACAATACAGCAGTTAGCTCAACAACAAACCATGGTTCATCTGCTAGGTTGTTTAGCTCCTACACAACCAGTGGTCTGAGTTTGGAAGACACACTGAACAACCTAATATGCAGCCAGTTATGAGCCATAAAACAAGTTGCTAAGATTGCGTGTAGCCTGCCCTCTGCAAACTAGCCTGATTCCCCCTTTAAAGTTTTTAAAGTGCTTTTATATTAAGTATGCTAGGGATTCATGTCTTAATAGTGACTGAAGGTGCAACCCTATCACTGCTAGCCCCAGACAGCCATAGGAGAGGTTGGAGTCCTGCTCTGACCCCAGAAATGCTCTCCAAGGTGAGAACTGGGAACGTGAGCTCAGAGTGCCCTTTCTCCACCCTTGCAGCTAGCATGCCGCTTGGGACCAAAAGACCAATCTTGGTGCTGGAGCTGTGTGGATGCTCTGGGGGAAGAGCAGAAAAAAAGCTGTGTCGTTGCACGTAGCGTTCCAGCCTGGCCTTCGCATGCTGTGGGACAAAAGGCTTCGACGGTCAAACTCAGATGTGCACTGTTTTTGCAGGGTGGGAGGTGCATGAGGCTGTCATCTCCTTCTGCGCTACTTCCACCTGCAATAGGATTCATATCACCCTCTGCATCTGGGGGTTTGCAGGTAGCCACACTGGATCACACTGGGAGTTAAACAAACCTCTTACTTCCATATAGCTTGTTGACAATAATGATAATGGTCACAATTTATATAGCATTTTAGGAGAATTCAAAGAAGTAAACCTTGCAATCCTTACAGCTACTCTCCAAAGGAGGACAGAATTACTCCTATATTGTGAATGAGGCTGAGAGTGGGGGAGGCTTTTCTCAGGCCACCTAGATTTTTCACAGCAGAAGTTCACAGCAGAACTTCAGACATGCCCAGCTGAAGGTATTCAGGAATTGTCTTCAAAAGATGAATATCTTATTATTTAATATATAAATTTAATTATATTAAATTTAATATAATTTAATACAGAGTTCATGCCCGTTTTCTTATCACACCCTTTGCTCCCAGAATTTTTGAATTCAGTAAAGGAGAAAAGCGTACTATTTCAATATTGTTGGAAACTACCCATTAATTACAACAGGATGCTGTAATGATAATCTTTCTCTATAGAAATCCAGCAATTTTTCTCCTTGCCAGACTGCAGACTTCACCTCTCTGCCTGATTGAGAAGGCTGGACAAAGGATCCTGTTCTTGTTCATATCCATTCTTCTGCTCTAGTATCTGGGGAAATGGACAAAGAGAAAATACCATAGCCCATCTTTCAGTAAACTGGTGTCCTCAAGATCTTTTGGATTTCATCTCCCATCAGGTCCATCCAGCATGTCCAATGGTTATGAATTCCAAAAAATCTAAAAGGTCATCCAAAAGATCTGGAGATCACTGGATTGGTGAAGGCTGATGTGAAGGCATCACTTCAGAAGCTAACAGATTTCCAAGTATTAGGGCTGTCACACTGGCACTGGCCAAAATAGAAATCCGGTCAGCTGGATTCATGGTTGGGAGCCAGGTTCAAGTGAGGAACTCCCTGAAAATGTTTAAAACACCCAGGCTCCACTGCATCCCTTTTTAACCATTTCACGGGTGCTTTCTTAGTTGCAAGGTGATGTCCTGAGTTGTAAATGTCTTAGAGAACACGACAGTTTTCAATAGGTAGAACTGCTTATTTTTATAACTATTCCTTCTTTGTGCTCTGGGTACCATGACAAAAGATAGTCCTTCGTTTGGTCAGATTCTATGCACTCACGGAGTACTTACCCAGTTTTTGCAAAGTTTGTCCAGTATGTCATCACCACTGCACTTAGCATGACGTCATTTTTAGAAAAGTTGCAAGGAAACAATTCAGTAGGACCAATCATTGGGATACCTAATACATAAGGAACCTCATCCCCGTGAGCAGCATCTGCCCATGCAGGAACCTGATCAGTTTGGCAATGATGGTAGAAGGCATAAAAATACGTGGGTGATCCAAAATTGGAATGAAGATCAGCTGTAGCCACTGCGGGTGCAACCCACTGATGATCAGTGAACAAAGCCAACAGAGTTTTCCTTCTTGTCTCAGGATTATGTCTATCTGCCCAGTCTGTGTACATAAACTTGATTGTTTCTCTCAGGATATCTTTGCCCTCAGGGTATCCGTATAAGTTGTCAACAAAGTTTGAAACAGCAAAGTCAAAGTCACTAGCAGATATGCCATCTTCACTGTCAACTATGTTTTCAACAAATTTCAGCCCTTCTCCTTGGTTCACTCCCAACATTATGTCGTAGTTGAGGAACTCTCCTTGCTCCATCAGTATCTGAGGGTCGTCCGGTATCACATCCCCGTCAATGACTGGGCCAAAGGCGATGTGGTATCGTGCCGGCTGAATATCCTGATCGACAAGTTCTCTATACGGCTTCTTCTGCAGACATTCCACCAATTCGACCGTGTCCGACACATTGCAGCCCACTTTTGTAGCCAACATCCTGGCGTATTTTGCAGGCTGAAAACTGACTGCCCAGCTGGAGAGCGCGGTTCCACTCTGAGCAATTGCCCTTTGAAAAAGTCCTGTGTGGACAGAATTAGAGGACAAAATTAGGAAAGGGATACTAGGGCAATAAAAGTGGGTACATGCTTAAAACATTTGAACTAAAGAGAAACCATACAATTACAATCGAGCTATTAGGCAGTAAGTAGCAGGACAAGGAGCTTTTGGTTGGTATATGTGCAGTTAAATAATGCAGTTGTCTCCAGATATAAACTCTGTATAATTTATTGCAGAATTATGGAAACAAAGCGAAAGGAAGTGACCATCCACTTCTATGCAGCAAAGCACTGATCCTGAAATGGAAAATGGGGAGAACTTTAGGAGAAATTAGGTGCACCTGTTTGCACATTGCAGCTGTCCAGCCCTGCGCATGGGCCATGAGGGTGGATGCAGTTTGGACATCATTAATGTGCATGGATATATTGCTACCGTCAATGTCATAGTTTATCTGTGAGGAGCATGATTTAGGACTTTTCTATGTAATGCATTTATTGTGTGCTCATGATCCCTCATGCATAGAGTTTATGGGGCCTTCACCCAAAGTCCTATGGCCTCTCCCATGCTTCCGGCCATTTCAATGACTTTTTTAGAGTAAGCATTTTCCTGGATGGCACCCTGATTCATTATGGAAATCCTGTGTAAAATCCAAATGCTTCCTTATACCACAGCACCACCTTGCATTGCGTATGGGAACATATAGGAAGACAGGAAGGAAAAAGCCAGGGAGGAAATCCTGCTATAAAAGGAGCTGCTTTCTCCTACAAAGGAAGCAGAGCCCTCCAAGTGTGTTGGCCCTATTTCTGATCAGTACTAGCCACAACAGCCAATGATGAGGAATGACAGAAATGAAAGGACCACAAGTAGCTTTTCCTGGGCTAGAGGGAAACCTAATGCATTTCAGATAGAACTGCATCTGCTTTGTTGACCCCCTCATTTGCTTACTGACACTTTCGTCCGGTGTTTTAAAAATTCATTTTATACTATAAACAGCATGTAACACACTCTTTCCCCGCGTTTTGCAAGACATGGAGCTGAACTGATTGCAAGAGTTATTCAAATGAGCACAACGTTGATTCCACACACTTTTTCAGCCATTACAAGGAAAATGCTTTATATGCAAACCCTTCTCCTTCCTTGTGGAGATAAAGGAATTATGAAAAGGAACTGCTCCCCACTTATTTGAACAAGAATATCTGACTTTAGAGTTCCATTCATTTGGGGAACACCCCTCAGTTATTAATCATTTCCAGCTCTCCTTAGAATGCAATACTTGAAGAGGTCCCCGGGACATTCCACTGAAATCAGTCAGTTTTCTATGAAAGATAGGTACTCCATATTGATGATACATCAGTCAATATGGCCAATTTCGAACATTGTTTCAATATTGCATTATGGGGCTTAATATTGCATACATAGTACAAATCAATATATTTATTTAATGGCATCCAAATACAAGTACCAAATGATTCTCTGAAATTTATGTATAACAATAAATTTAGGCTGTTGCTTTTCTCATGCTGACAGCTCTTGAGCTAAGCTCAGAGTGCCTCTGAAGCTTGATCATCTCTGGGTGAAGCAGATCACTTGGCCATGTTCTTCCCCGGTTCCTGTAATGGCTTTAAGAATGCATGGGGGACTGGATTCAACTGAAATAAAATTCAGATACATACTGAGAGAAAATATACATGCAACAATGTATTGTTAGGAACAGTATGCAAATGCTTACATCTTCTCCGATTTAAAAACCAACCCCGGATGAACGTGAAAGTAATGCATAAACAAAACAGAAGTATAGGTAAAAGCAAGCAGAAATCACATGGAGTGGAAATAGGTAGCTTCCAGTCCTAAGCAGTTGTAGTATCCACTTGAGTGTAAAGGAGCATTTCAGTCCTAGAAATGGCAAGTCAGAGGAATTTCCCATTTTGTGGAGCATGTTCAGCCCAATGATACCTGACATAGATCTCCTCTGTTTCTCACTAGGAGACAGTAACAAATGAACTGCACTGCACTGAAGTCACGTCTACTTTCAGTATGACTAAGCTTGCATCAGACCCGTTATCTATTTCCACTGATACCGTTGGGACCAGCAGCGCAATCCTATAGGAGTGGACAAAGATTCTGTGGTGCATTCTTAAGCTCCAAAACCCCACACTGCTGAAGGGCGTAAGGGATTCCACTTCTGTTTCCCCATTTTAAATGATTTCTACCCAACTGGTCAGGTAGGGTTGGTCATACTATAAATCCCTACATGGCTTGGGACCACAATACCTGGTGGAGTGCCTCTCCCACCCCTGAGATACCCAGTCACTACACTCAATCCCTGGGGTCTCCCTCCAGGAGCCAAACCTTGAGAGGCTCAGTGGGTGACAATGGGGGGGGGTGTCTGTGGTGCCTCCCCCCATTTGGAACAACCTCCCTGCTGCAGCCCACCTAGTGCCAAATTTGCCATCTTTTCAGTGCAGGTTAAAGAAGCCTTCTTAGTAGAGGCCTTTGAGAACATTCCTAGTCACTCAGAGGCCTGATGCAATTATCCTTTTATTCTCGACCAGGTCTTTTTATTTGGCTCTTAATGTTCTTTTATGTAATGTTATGCAATTATTTTTACATTTTTGTTATTGTCTTTTCTCCATTGTGCTTGTGCTTTCTTGTAAACTGTCCAGAGAACTTTGGCTACAGGCAGTATAGAAATGAAATCAAATGAAATAAATAAATAAATACTGACACCAGCTGGGAAAAAAAACCATGACTCCAGCTCCAAGACTGGTGCAGTTTTTCTTCCTTGTGAAGGACACAGTTGGGGAAAAGAGGGTCCTGTGGACTGATGAACTGCTCCAACCCACTCTGGATGCCAATGAAGCGTCACCACTATATCTAAGGAAATGGACCTTTTGGATGCTTTGTTGGGCACCCCGGGGACTCAGGTGGTTGCAAGGGTCATGAAGGGGATCCTGTAGCTCACTGGGGGCCAGCTATACCCAGCAGCCCAGATCTGTTTTCGTTCCAGTTACTTCTGTGTTAAGGGATATGGATGAAACTGAAAGGAAAGTGACCCATTCTGAAAGTGCTGATATAAACAGCAATACTTGTTAAATGCTCCATTAAAGACTAGATTGAGTTAAAAGTGGTCAAAGACCTCAAAACATAAAGCTCAGTTCAGCTACTTTAAAGAAGGAAATCTTTTTTTATTGAATAGTGATTGTGAAAAATGGATGAAAGGGATGGAAGTGGTGTTCTTCTTTAACCCTCAAAGCCACTTTCTTTGAAGCTGTTTCATGAAAATCAAGGGCATGGTTTGTGAGAGAATGATATGGGGACTTCAGCCTTTGCAAAGGGAGTAACAACAGTTAAAAGTAAAGGGCAGAATCCAACCAGTTGCAAGTGTTCGAAGTAACTTCCCTTCAGTGACAGAGGACTGAAATCAGTGAACTCTGAAGCCTAATCCAAGGCATGTTTACTTAAAAGTAAGTTCCATTTTCCTGAATGGATTTTAGTCTCTAGTTTGTGTGCACAGAGCTGCTATTTTGAAGGTGCTAAGCTGTGGCTGGATGATGCCCAATGATCTAAGAAAATGCGCTAGTGCAAATTTGGGTCTAAATTGTTGATCATCATATGCTGTCTATAGGACAGGCTTAGGGAAACCTGTTTTGATCCTGGGATGAATTGCCTAACCAGTGAGGCATGTTGGGTGACATCAAGGAGTAGGTCATGGGACAAAACATTTCCTTTTGAATCACCTGCCCTACACGTCCCCTGACATCATCCAAGACCCCAGAGCTTCCCAGGATAGAACAATCTTCTTCCCCCAACTGGACCTCAAGTTTCAAACCCAATTCCTCATGGAAAAAAATCTGAGCTGAACAGTGAGCTAGGGGAATTTTTCCTCAGGACTTTGTAGTTACATTTTAAGTGCAAACACTACACTTTAGAATATTGTAGCAATTGTCTTCCAGAACATCACGGCAGCAAATTGCAACAACGAAGGGCACCTTTTCACTATATTGAGAGTAACTCAACTTAATAACTACATTATTTTCCAGAAATGCACATCGCTGCATGATTTGCAGCTAGCTCTGAACTGCTGCAACAAATACGACAACAAAAACAATGAAATGTTCTTCAGGATTGTATGTAACAACCTCATCACAAGCCCAAGTGTGGTTCATACATGTGTGTGTTTCCCAGCTTGCGGTGGTGAATTGCATGTGTGAATGGCCTATCACAGAACAATCACCACAGAGAGGCAGATTACCAGTGTTGTAGTTGAGCCAGGCTTACAGGATCAAAACACTGGACCTCTTGATGGGCAGGAGCAATGGCATCATCTTCTACCCCTCTCCTTCTGAGCTTTGCTACATGACTTTCAGTAACTGAGATAAAACAGGGCTTACCAAGAAAAAAAATGAGGTAATCCTTGTAATGCAAAGCATTTTGGGGTGGCGCAGTATTCAGTTAAGACCTATTTGCTTTAAAAAAGCTGCTTCTACGAGTAGTCAAGAAGCAGTCTGCTAGAACTGCCTTTTTGGTATGGATCAAAACACCTGCCCACATTTTTGGAGGTGAGAGACAGGTGTGGCAGTATCTGATGGCTCCAATCTCCATGAAGTGGTATAGCCACACCAAGTGTTAGCTTGAACTTTAAAAGACCCGACTCCGCTGCTGAATCTATTTTGTGGATAGTTTTCAGCACCATGGATAGCTCCTTAAAAGTTCAGACTGAAGCCAAGCGAGGATGGATACACCACACTGCTGGCATTGGGCTGGCAAGTCTCCACTGGACAGGTGATGGAGACTGATGAATTTTGTGTGGTATGAATACCTAACAGAGTGTTGTCATAGCATATTAGTCAGGGTCCACCATATCTCTCATGCTTCCTATATAGGAATCTGAGGAGCATTCTTGGCCAAAACTTATGGTGTCACAAATATGCTTTGTTCTAAGTGGCTGCTAGTTTTTTCCTGTGATGGCTGCTGCTTTTCCCACAGAATTATCCTCATAATGAAAGGTAGCGGCCTTTAGAAC